ATATAATCTTTTACTCTTCATTCTTTTACATATAAAACTTATTAGAAAAAATAAAAGTGTAAAGAAAATATTACATTAAAAGTCCAATTGTCTATTTAGTACTGCATTTGCACATTTATACAGATTTATGTATATAGACACTTGTGTTATTTATGAGATCGATATTGATTGAATGGACTAAATTTCTCCCTCTCTTGTTCCTTTATTTTTATTATTGTTATTATGTCACATTTAGGTCTATTTTCGTATTGTACGTAGAATGCATTTTATTGTACAAAGGTGTGTTTTTCACAGTTTAAATGCATACTCCTTATGCTTTATATGACAAATGATAAAAAATATTCGGAATGATGGTACGCGATAGTAATAAATTTATTTTATTCTTATTCTGTGTAGCTTCCTCTCTTCTGACTTGTTTCCTAGCTGTTCTGTTTTTCAACACTTGAAAATAAGTGTTAATATAATTTCTTCGCCTGTGCCTCCTTATTGTCCCTGTAAGAAGAAATAAAAATGTGTAGAGAACAATGAATTTAACTTACACACTGTTATGAATAGACAGCATTTTTTATGCATTTCTAAAAAAGCGGAGTGTGTAAAAATTATGAATGCTTATGCTATGAATGTGTAGTATACAAAACAATGTCCAGACTATCAGAAGTTGAATTCATATTTCAATGTTTTAATCATAAAATAAATGTTTATCTGAAACATCTCTTAAACTCGTAAATGTTTCATTTTGCATAAATATTCGTTGTCTAATTATGAATGACAAACAGTAGAAGGTATTCATGCTATTAATATCCAGCGTTTTTGTTCCAGTGATAGATTTTACAAATACAAAAAGATATGAAACCGTTTCATTGATTTGCAATCGGGAAGAATTTTTAAAAGGGAATAGCTGGATGAGGAGGTGGCTGCCCTTCAGCTAAATGAAACGCAGCCTGGGCCATTCGGTAGTTTGAAGTAGAAAATTAAATATTCAGGCCAATATTTAGCCCTATATTTCAACCTTGGATATTAATTAGGAGAATTTGGAAATTCAGTTTTTTCAGATCTTTTCTATTAAATGTTATGTAAAAAATCTGAAATAATTCTCAGGCATGTCCAGTCACAGTAGTAAAATGCCAGAATTTTTTCACGTGTAATATTAAGTAAAGAAAAATTAGTTTTCTCAGATTTTTTTTATTTAATATCATGTCAAAAGTCTGAAGTAATTCTCAAGAATCCTGAATTATACAAACGTGTCAGACCTTTCTAAGATTCTTCGGATGATATCAAATATGGAAAAATATGGAAAAATTTGAGAAAACTGATTTTTCAAATTCTTCCCATTACTGAAGAGTTAGAATAGAAGACTGAAAATTAACTAGTGTGTATTCAATTTTTATGGCCCAGGCTACGTTTCATTTGACTTAATATCTGCTGAACTGCGCATCAATTTTCTATAAGACAGCTGCTAGATTAACTCTAGCCGTTCTAGTTAAAGAATTTTATAAATATGCATTGGATAAAATCTGACAGTATAGGATTTATTGATAGGGTAATAACTAAATTATAGTATAATGATTATGAACAAAAAAATTGATAATTACCGGTACATGCTGTACGCTAACAAAATAATCATCTGAATCGCGACGAACAATAAGAACATCGTCGTTGTTAAACAGTTCGTCGTCGGACAGTCTGATTTAACATTGCCTTTACTATTCATCTGGCCAATGTCTCTTTTCACAGTGTTAAGGCCATCTCGCATTTCAGAAATCAGCGACTGATAATCATATCCCATCTGTTGCACCTGAAAATAACAATATTAATAATGAATCAGTTAATATTGCATAAAGATTATATACACAATATAGTATAAGCTGTTTGACGTTCACTTATAGAAAAATTGGACGCATGGAAAACGTAAAGAAATCATGAAATATACATACAGGTTGTCCCAGAAAAGGTGTTGGAGCCGAAAATGGCAGATTGGGAGGGTCTTCCTGAACAACAATTTCCTTTTGCAAAATGCAGAATGGGGCTTGGTTACCGAGTTATTAACGAAAAACACGGACCAATCAGAGCGCTCGGTCGACGCGGGCTCCGACTCGGGAGCGTTGGCTCGGATCCGGCCGCCCGACCTTTCACGCGTTTGAACAAGCGCTCCGCTCAGTACGAAGCGTTTTACAAACTACATGAATAACAATGCAAGGAAATTATTGTTCGTGCGTTATTATGAATGACAATTAATACACTTAATCGTTGTTCACGTGGAATGGAGGGGAAAAGTGATAGATTATTGATAATTGATGGACGATGGTAGGATAAACGAGGAATTATCAGGGCGCACGGAACATTGAATTTAAAAGAAAATGCAAAGACTGTAGAGATTAGACTTACCCATTAATCCGCAAGTGCACCTGCTCACAATGAGCCACGGTCAGTGGGTCAGTGTCCTTGCCGCTCGCAGGTAGGCCACAGCTGTCTTCTGTCCAGGGAAGGAACCCCGCAATCAACCGCACGATCATTGTCACTCTTAAAAATTTTAACACACTAAGATTGTTGCTCCTACGTTCTATCAATACACGTCTTTGAAAGCAGCCGATTGATTTTTATACACAAACTCAACTTCATTAAACCGCTATCACTCTTCACTTAAAAATTTTCAAACACTTACACTGTCGTTCTTGCAGTCTAACATTAAACGTCTCCGAAAGGAGCGGATTGTTTGTCACTCACAAAATAAACTTCACCATCCGCGTGGTCCGTGAACTACACGATGCACGAAGGGCGCGACTCGATCGGGATGACGCTCTTTTTATCGGAATCGGCGGAGAACCATCTTCGCGTTAGGCGAATACTCTGATTATTTCGTAATACTCTGTTGGATTTTTCGGGATCCGTCATTGAGTTGAGGTGCCCGATTCGATACCTACTGAACCGTGTCTCACAACTTTCCTTCGGGAGACTTTTCCCCACTCGATGGCCAAATACGTTAGTGAAAATGTTTTTAACATCCCTGAAAGAAACTCGACCTTCGATTCCTTGTAATATTTACAATATTCCCCACGTGTTAAACACTCGGTACCTCCGCGACTTGCAGCTACCATCCGTCGACGCCTGAATTGTCTTTTGCCGTAGCCGTAGACACATTGTACGCAGGTAAAATCCCTACCATAATCCGTACGGAAGAAGTTTCGACAGCTTATTGTTTTCGATTTCCCTTAACGTGTAACTAGTTGAACGCGTAAAATACGACCCGCCGGTATGCACTCCATCTGGCATTAGTGGTAAAAAAAGTAGGAGGACATCTTTTACTTCGTTCAACCAGTCAAAGGTACTTCTTATTATCCATCACGTGTTTCCAAGGGACATCGAAAATAATAAGCTGGCGAAACTTCTTCCGTAAGAATTATGACACGGCTTTTACCTGTGTACAATGTGTCTACGGCTGTGCTGGCTGCAAGTCACGGAGGTACCGAGTGTTTAACACGTGGGGAATATTGTAAATATGATAAGGAATCGAAGGTCGAGTTTCTTTCAGGGATGTCAAAAACATTTTCATTAACGAATTTGGCCATCGAGTGGGGAAAAGTCTCCCGAAGGAAAGTTGTGAGACACGGTTCAGTAGGTATCGAATCGGGCACCTCAACTCAATGACGGATCCCGAAAAATCCAACAGAGTATTACGAAATAATCAGAGTATTCGCCTAACGCGAAGATGGTTCTCCGCCGATTCCGATAAAAAGAGCGTCATCCCGATCGAGTCGCGCCCTTCGTGCATCGTGTAGTTCACGGACCACGCGAATGGTGAAGTTTATTTTGTGAGTGACAAACAATCCGCTCCTTTCGGAGACGTTTAATGTTAGACTGCAAGAACGACAGTGTAAGTGTTTGAAAATTTTTAAGTGAAGAGTGATAGCGGTTTAATGAAGTTGAGTTTGTGTATAAAAATCAATCGGCTGCTTTCAAAGACGTGTATTGATAGAACGTAGGAGCAACAATCTTAGTGTGTTAAAATTTTTAAGAGTGACAATGATCGTGCGGTTGATTGCGGGGTTCCTTCCCTGGACAGAAGACAGCTGTGGCCTACCTGCGAGCGGCAAGGACACTGACCCACTGACCGTGGCTCATTGTGAGCAGGTGCACTTGCGGATTAATGGGTAAGTCTAATCTCTACAGTCTTTGCATTTTCTTTTAAATTCAATGTTCCGTGCGCCCTGATAATTCCTCGTTTATCCTACCATCGTCCATCAATTATCAATAATCTATCACTTTTCCCCTCCATTCCACGTGAACAACGATTAAGTGTATTAATTGTCATTCATAATAACGCACGAACAATAATTTCCTTGCATTGTTATTCATGTAGTTTGTAAAACGCTTCGTACTGAGCGGAGCGCTTGTTCAAACGCGTGAAAGGTCGGGCGGCCGGATCCGAGCCAACGCTCCCGAGTCGGAGCCCGCGTCGACCGAGCGCTCTGATTGGTCCGTGTTTTTCGTTAATAACTCGGTAACCAAGCCCCATTCTGCATTTTGCAAAAGGAAATTGTTGTTCAGGAAGACCCT